ACGCGCGGACAACTCGGCTCTTTGTACCCGGACCGTTTTAATCTTATCGGTGTCCCGGTTATCGGTCTTTACACGATCTCGCGCGATGCCGGGCCTCGTCCCGCGGCCGTACGCGGCCGATCTCCGGACGGACAAGGCTCGTGACTTTCGTCGAGCGGCCCTCATGTTTATTTAAAAGCTCGCGCGGCCCCGACCACCATTCGCTCGACGACGACGCCGCTCGGCGATCGAGGACGCGCTGCCGACCATCCTCGTACCCGAGGATGCGTGCACTTAGCCGAGGAGCTTGTTACCCGATAACGGCGCCGATAACGGCCGCGACAAAATTCCAGCGATTTCCTCCGTCTTCGGGGAGAAAGCGAGAGAGATCGCGAAACCGGGCGAGGCACGGACGCTCGTGCGACTTAGTCTCCCGTGGGTCGAGCCGTGTACTCGGAGTTGAAGTATTTATTATTGTAATGGTCGGTTATTAACCGGTTCGAGGTATATTCGATGCGTTCGAGGATCGTTGCGCGGTGTAGACCGCCGGCTGGACGGAGGGGACACTCGAGTTCCGAGAGTTCAAGTATCGAGATACATCGCGAAACGAGAGTGTAAGCGGGGAAAACGATCAAAGGGGAAGTCAAAGGACACTGTGAACTTGCTAATTAATCGATAGTAGCTGCAGATCGACGCGCTGAGACTTGTAACCGCAGTTATGAAAGAAACATCTATGTTATCTCGAAAGATATTGATTCTTTCGCGGGATCAATTATTCTCGCGCGAGATTGTCCGACGAGATACGGAGCTCGAATGCTTTTAAAATGGTAGTACGTTCGACGTCGTCCTCAGGTATTAGCGGTTTATCACCGGTACTCCGAACGAACATCCAAGAGCAACGAACTTGCCGTTCCTCTCGCGGTTATCACGTGTTTTTCCGAGGAGCGGCCTCCTACGCGGAGATACGACAAGTTCCTCGGTGTATTTGCCCGGCTAGATACACCGGCTATCTCGCCTGTTTTTGAGGAAGGTTAAACAAACTTCTGACGCCCGAAACCACGGCGAAGATTACCGGTGTTTGTCGAACGATGCATCATCCCCGGCAAACAGACTGCGCAATCCTCATCGCGATGGGATCCACCGCCGCGGACAGGGCTCGGTGGCCTCCAGAGCGATATTTGCTCGCGTTTAAAACTCTTAACCGGCCGCGTTTATTCCGATCCGACACTCGAGTCGCCACCAGACGCCCCGAATCGACCGACCCGCTTTGATCGCGCGTTCGATACCCCGACAGCGCCGAAATCAACCGCGCCCGAGCCGAGAGAAAAGGGATTATCCGCGAAGAAGATCGTTACGCTTCTGGTATCGGTCCACACAAAGCTCTGGATCGTTGGGGTGTGATAGCGAAGTGCCTCAGAGTTTTCGCTAAACTTTTAACCTTTTACACTCGAAGTTTCTCGCTAGAAATTTAACATTTTTTCACGAGGCGAAGACGATGTTCCTTGAAACTAACTCGAAGGGAAATCACAAGTCCCTCGGGGAACAAAGTTATTTTATTCCATTATTTCACGTGTCGAGGCATTATACAAAGTTGAACATTAACCTTTTGCACTCGGAAGTTCTACGCTAGAAATATTTTAACATTTTCTGATGAGGTAACGACGACATTTTGTGAAACTAACTCGAAGAAAAATCACATACGCATCGAGGAACGAAGTATTTCAATACTTCTCAAATCGATACTTCGTACAGAGTACAATATTAAAGATCAAATGTTATAGTTTTACTGCAATCAAGTGGTGAGTGAGAGTCACCGTTCGAGTGCAAAGGGTTAAACATCAGATTTTATAGTTTCACCGAAATCAAATGAAGTGGTGACTGAGAGTCGCCTCTCGAGTGCAAAGGGCTAATACGAGCATGTAAAAGTCACGGTATAGTTGTTGCAACAGGAAACAATCGCGACTTTATCAGTTCCGTCGTGATCGTGATTTGTTTCTCGATGGAAACCGTCGACAGTAAGATTATTCGTTCGAGCATCCCCTTCGAGATTTTCAATCCTCGACTCTCCCAGCAACGAAGGACTTTCCTCCCTGCCGTCTATGTCCTAAACGGATTATCCGAAGGCATCGGGTCTCGGCCGGTACTCCAAATAACACGGGCGCCGTCCGTGAAACGCGAGCGTCCGTTCAGCCGATGAATCCTCCTCGTCCGGCGAGAGCCGAGCCCTCCGCGTCCCGGCGAACCGCGGCCACTTTCTCACGGAATGCATTAACGCCTTTCCGGCGACGCGTAAAGCCGTCGACGAGGATCCACTCGGCGACACGGCGAGGCAACCTCCCGGAGGATGTTTAGCAAACACTCGGAAAATTCGCTGCATCACCTTTTGGGTCGGCGTTCGGCAAACAAGCCCAGCTTGGAGCGCTTCCAGAAAAGCTGTCGCCGGGGCGAGGCGGTAGGCGCCGGCGTCCGCCCGTCAACCGTCACCGAGGAATAATCCGCGCGATCGTAAGTTCGTGCTTCTCCAATCTCCTCGCCCCTTTCATTTCTACGCCCGTGAAATCGGTTCGCGAGTAGAGAGGAGAAGGAAGAGACAGCAGAGACATCGAGGGTAGAGCGAGCGTTCCGGTTTCCGTTGACGACGCCGAGCAGCGTTGCGTCGCTCCGCGTCGCGAGCCCGGAGCACAATATCGCGGGAGCAATACAATAACCACAATGGACCGTTGCCTGCGTGAACCTGTTCCGCAAAGCCGGCTCCCGATCCCGTTTGAAGTTCCCGACGACCAGGCGCCGCAGACCGCTGCTTCCCTTCGCGATCCACCGGGCGAACGAAAGGATTTCTAAATACTCGTCCGCGGTATTTGCGGATATCCGCCGGTAGTCCCCGCTGGGTCCCGAAATACCGGAGCCTGGAACCGGCACACCGGCGAGGAGCAGGGGAAAAGGCCGCCAGAAAGGGTACGGGGACCGGGGGGCGAGCAGATAGAGAGGGATCGGTTTGGAAGGGGAACGGAACAAACGACGGGACCTTCTCTCACGGGGCGCCTGCAATCCGATCCTCAAAGCACATCGGGTAAATACACCCACGCGGGCGTGCGGCGGGGAGGAAGGAACGTTTAATTAATTCCATCCAATGCGCCGGTACGGCTGTAGAACATAGCCGGCAATTCCGACTGCATTTTCGCGATGCGTGCTGCCTTGTTGCGTTTATACGCGTGGGAGTGCGTC